CAGGTGACAGAGCGAGACTCCGTCTCAAAAAAAAAAAAAAAGAAAAAATGAAAAAATGATGGACTGGGCCTAGTGCCTCACACCTGTAATCACAACACTTTGGGAGGCCGAGGTGGGAGAATCGCTTGAGCCTGGGAGCTCAAGACCAGCCTGGGAAATACAGTAGGACTTCATGTCTACAAAAAAATTATTAAAAATTAGCTGAGGCCAGGTGCGGTGGCTCATGCCTGTAATCCTAGTGAGGAAGTTGAGCCCAGGAGTTTGAGACCAGCCTGGGCAACATGGCGAAACCTTGTCTGTACCAAAAATACAAAAAAATTAGCCAGGGGTGGTGGTATGTATCTGTAGTTTCAGCTACTTGGGAGGCTGAAGTGGAAGGATTGCTTGAGCCCAGGAGGCAGAGGTTGCAGTGAGCTGAGATCATACCACTGCACTCCAGCCTGGGTGATGGAGCAAGACCCTGTCTCCAAAAAAAAAAAAAATGATGACGTGACAGTTCCAATAGTCCTGCTCTCACACTCTCAATGCTCTTTCCTTCCTGGGGATCCAGGGTTTCCACCCAATTGTGGTTGTGCAGCCAGATGCCTGGACAGAGGACAATGGCTTCCATGGTAAGGTGCCTGCATGTACCTGTGCTATATGGGGTCCTTTTGCATGGGTTTGGTTTACCACTCATTACCTGGTGCTTGAATAGCACAGTTCTTAGCACATTTTGAATATTTGTTGAATGAATGGCTAAAATGTCTTTTTGACGTTTTTATTGTTGTTTGTTTTATATTGTAAAAGTAAGACATGAACTGTTTCCATAGGGTGGGAGTAAGATATGAATGTAGATCACAAAAATATAAATCAAGGCCGGGGATGGTGGTTCATGCCTATAATTCCAGCACTTTGGGAGGCCAAGATGGAGGCCAAGGTGGGAGTGCAGGAGTTCGAGACCAGCCTGGGCAACATAAGGAGACTTCATCTGTACAACAAATTTAAAAAGTAGCTGGGTCTGGTGGCAGATGCCTGTAGTCGCACCTACTTGGGAAGCTGAGGTGGGAGGATCACTTGAGCTCAGGAGGTCGATGCTACAGTGAGCCACGATCATACCACTGCACTCCAGCCTGGGCGACACAGCGAGACCGTGTCTCAAAAAGAAAAAAGAAAGTATAAATTTACACAAAAACAATAAAATAATCCCAGTAATTCCACTACTTGGAGATGATCACCATAAAATTCCACCAGGCATATGTGCATATATATACACGTGTGTATTTTATAAAATGTGATCATAATTACACTGTTTTGCTTTTTTCCTTAAGATATCACATACATTTTTCCATATTGTTAAATTACAGTGCTGTTTTCCTGGTGGCTTTCCTTTAACAGATTGAAGTTCATGTTAATACAGTTGCCAGAGGCTGTGGGCTTTCACCAGCAGTCACTCCTTGGGCCTCTTCAGAGCAAGGCCTTATGTCCTGAAGCATTGCTTTTTTTTTTTTTTTTTTTTTTTTTTTGAGGTGGAGTCTCACTGTGTCACCCAGCAGGCTGGTGTACAGTGGCCCAGTCTTGGCTCACTGCAACCTCCGCCTCCTGGGTTCAAGTGATTCTTCTGTGTCAGGATCACCTGACATCAGGAGTTTGAGACCAGCCTGGCCAACATGGTGAAACCCCATCTCTACTAAAAATACTAAAAAAAAATTAGCCAGGCATGGTGGCACACGCTTGTAGTCCCAGTTACTTGGGAGACTGAGGCAGGAGAATTGCTTGAACCCGGGAGGTGGAGGTTGCAGTGAGCTGAGATTGCACCATCACAATCCAGCCTGAGTGACAGAGCGAGACTCCATCTCAAAAAAAAAAAAGAAAGAAAAATATAATTATCCTGGCGTGGTGGCAGGCACCTGTAATCCCTGCTACTTGGGAGGCTGAGGCAGGAGAATCACTTGAACCTGGAGGTGGAGGTTACAGTGAGTTGAAATCGTGCCATTGCACTCCAGGCTGAGCAACAGGAGCAAGACTGTCTCAAAAAAAAAAAAAAAAAGGCCAGGCGTAGTGGCTCACGCCTGTAATCCCAATACTTTGGGAGGCCAAGGCAGGTGGATCACCTGAGGTCAGGAGTTTGAGACCAGCCTGGCCAACATGGTGAAACCCCATCTCTACTAAAAATACTAAAAAAAAATTAGCCAGGCATGGTGGCACACGCTTGTAGTCCCAGTTACTTGGGAGACTGAGGCAGGAGAATTGCTTGAACCCGGGAGGTGGAGGTTGAATGAGCCAAGATTGCGCCATTGCACTCCAGCCTGGGCGACAGAGCAAGACTCCGTCTCAAAAAAGAATAATAATAATTGGCTTCTACCTCATTAATCCTAAGAATTAATGCAACCAGGACCCTGGAGTCTATTGATTAGAACCTGGTCCAGGAGAATGAATTGACACTAATCTGTGCTTGTGTTCTCTGTCTCTAGCAATTGGGCAGATGTGTGAGGCACCTGTGGTGACCCGAGAGTGGGTGTTGGACAGTGTAGCACTCTACCAGTGCCAGGAGCTGGACACCTACCTGATACCCCAGATCCCCCACAGCCACTACTGATTGCAGCCAGCCACAGGTACAGAGCCACAGGACCCCAAGAATGAGCTTACGAAGTGGCCTTTCCAGGCCCTGGGAGCTCCTCTCACTCTTCAGTCCTTCCACTGTCCTGGCTACTAAATATTTTATGTGCATCAGCCTGAAAAGGACTTCTGGCTATGCAAGGGTCCCTTAAAGATTTTCTGCTTCAAGTCTCCCTTTGAAATCTGCCATGAGCACAAAATTTTGGTAATTTTTCACCTGAGAAGATTTTAGACCATTTAAACGCCACCAATTGAGCAAGATGCTGATTCATTATTTATCAGCCCTATTCTTTCTATTTGGGCTGTTGGCTTAGGGCTGGAAGCACGGAGCGGCTTGGCCTCAAGAGAACAGCTGGTTTCCCTAAATTTGCTTCTCTAAAACCCTGTGTTCACAAAGGCAGAGAGTCAGACCCTTCAATAGAAGGAGAATGCTTGGGATCGATTATGTGACTTAAAATCAGAATAGTCCTTGGGCAGTTCTCAAATGTTGGAGTGGAACACCGGGGAGGAAATTCTGAGGCAGGTATTAGAAATGAAAATGAAACTTGAAGGCTGGGCATGGTGGCTCACGCCTGTAATCCCTGCACCTTGGGAGGGTGAGGCAAGTGGATCACTGGAGGTCAGGAGTTCGAAACCAGCCTGGCCAACATGGTGAAACCCCATCTCTACCAAAAATACAAAAATTAGCCAGGCATGGTGGTGGACACCTGTAATCCCAGCTACTCAGGTGGCTGAAGCAGGAGAATCGCTTGAGCCCGGGAGGTGGAGTGGTTACAATGAGCCAAAATCATACCACAGCACTCCAGCCTGAGTGACACAGTGAGACTGTGGCTCCAAAAAAAAAGAAAGGAAAATGAAACTAGAAGAGATTTCTAAAAGTCTGAGGTATATTTGCTAGATTTCTAAAGAATGTGTTCTAAAACAGCAGAAGATTTTCAAGAACCGGTTTCCAAAGACAGTGTTCTAATTCCTCATTAGTAATAAGTAAAATGTTTATTGTTGTAGCTCTGGTATATAACCCATTCCTCTTAAAATATAAGACCTCTGGCATAAATATTTCATGTCTATAAAATGACAGATCCCACCAGGAAGGAAGCTGTTGCTTTCTTTGAGGTAATTTTTTTCCCTTTGCTCCCTATTGCTGAACCACACAGCTTCATAAATAATTTTGCTTGCCGAAGGAAGAAAAAGTGTTTTTCATAAACTCATTATCCAGAACTGTTTATAGCTGTTGGAAGGACTAGGTCTTCCCTAGCCGCCCCCCCCCGTGTGCAAGGGCAGTGAAGACTTGATTGTACAAAATACGTGTTGTAAATATTGTGCTGTTAACACTGCAAATAAACTTGGTAGTAAACACTTCCACCATGAATGACTGTTCTTGAGACTTAGACCAACTGACTTGTTTCAGAGCCTTTTCACTGTGCTTCAGTCTCCTCCTCTGTAAAATGGGGGTAATGATAGTATCAACCTCTTAGGATTTATTGAGGCAGCTTAAATACCTTTTGTATTTCCTGTTGCTACCAAAACAAATTGTTGCAAGGTCAGAAGTCTGAGGTGGCTCAACTGTTTCTTTGTTTCAGGTTTCATGAGGCCAAAATAAAGGTGTTTGCAGGGCGTGTCCCCTTCTAGAGGCTCTGGGAATAAGTCCTTGCAGTTTTAGAACTAAGATCCCTGTTTCCCACCGGCTGTCGGCTGGGCATCATTCTCAGCTTCTTGAGGTTCCCCACATTCCTAGGCTTCTAGTCCGTCTGCCTCCACCTTCAAAACCAGCAATGGGTGGTCAAGTTTTTCTCACACTGAATCTTGCTGACTGCTCCATCTTTCTAACTCCTGCCAGAGACATGTCTCTGTTTCTAAGGGCTCAAGTGATTAGATTGCACCCACCTGGTAATCCAAAGTGATCTTCATATCTTAAAGTCCATAGCCTTAGCCATAGCTGCAAAGTCCCTTCACAGCAGTACCTAGGTTAGTGTTGGATTGAATACCCAGAAGACAGCAATCAAGGGAAGACATCTTTAGAATTCTGCCTACCACTTGTATTTAACATGCTTAATCCACAGATGACACTCTCTATCATTATTTCCTGGTCCTCACACTGCTCAGAGATTGGAATCCTTTTTGAGCAAAGAGAATGAAGTCATCACACAATTCAGTCCTGCTGTATTTGCTGGAGACAGTGAAGGAGGATAGAGAAAATGGAGCTAACTGCCAATATTACATTTTATATCAGTCTTCATCATAGCCCTATGAAGCAGGTAGGTATTTGTTACCTCATTGGAAAAATGGGAGTTGAATCTCAAGTTCCTTGTTTGTAAGATTTTACTCAGATTTGCACAGCTAATAAATGACTACATGAAGATCCAAAGCCACCTTTCTGTTCCCATCATCAGCTTTCCATCTGCCTCTGTCACTGGACCCTGGGACAGAAGGTTCAAGCCTTAAGGGAATTTGGGGAGAGAACTAGATTTTGAGGGGAACTCGCACTCACTTCCTTTTTGGGCCATGGTAGGAGATAGTAAAAGCAGCCCCATGTCAGGCAAAGGGTCTTACAGTAGTGGATCATGGCTACTATTTCCACTTCTCTCTGGCCTTCCAGCTTATGACTGTATCTTAGTTGTCAAAGCCTTCCAGTTCATCCTCACCTACAGCTTGACTTCCCTAGGGCCCATGCCAGCTCCCTGTCTACCTGCCAGCGAGTTGATGAGTCTCCGTGTTAGCAGTAAAGTCAGGCAGGAAGCAAGCAGAAGTGCTACTGGGCCTTGAGGCTAAGCCAGGCCTCAGCCTTCTGACCCCATCACTGTTGGATTAATAGGAAAAGCAGTATCCATCTAGTACAGCCTGCGTTTTCAGGAATAGTGAGTGAAAGCAAAGATGACTAAAATACATTAAAGTTTTCTGTAATTGTCTCTAAGGTCTCCCAACAAATATACACCCCATCTGTTTCAAGTTCTGCATAACCTTTCCCAAAAGTCAAGTTCAGGCCCTGGCCTCATGATGCCTGGCCCAGGTTAAGAGTCTACCTAAGGGGCCCGGTGCAGTGGCTCACGCCTGTAATCCCAGCACTTTGGGAGGCCAAGGCGGGCGGATCACCTGAGTTCAGGAGTTCGAGATCAGCCTGGGCAATACGGTGAAACCCCGTCTCTACTAAAAATACAAAATTAGCCGAGCATGGTGACACTTGCCTGTAATGCCAGCTACTTGGGACGCTGAGGCAGGAGAATCTCTTGAGCTGGGAGGCGGAGGATGCGGTGAGCCGAGATCGTGCCATTGCACTCCAGCCTTTGTAACAAGAGTAAATCTCTGTCTCACCAAAAAAAAAAAAAAAAAATAGCCCTACCTGAGGAGAGTTAATCCACGTTCCTTTGACCTCTGACTTTAAGATGTCCTCCCACTTTTCCACCCCACAATCTCTAGCCCTCTCTGGGCACAGCAGCACTTGGGAACTGGTTCCTGTACTGCCTTTATCTCATTTTACAAAACAAACTTCTACAAAGAAGCTGGAAAGGAAGGAGAAAGGATTATCATGCAGGCACAGGGAGGGGGCCTAGAGAAGAGCTCTGGCAGATTATGTCCCTCCTAAAAAATGCAACCAGAATCATCAACAAAGTATTGCCTCAAAAACATGCAGGAGAAAAAGAAAGGAATCAGTGTTGGGGTAGTTGGAGCGGAAGGAGCCAAGCTGCCCAGAATGTGTCCTCTGAAGGCTGCGAGGAGCAGATAAGGTCAGCCCCAGAGGCAGACGGCACACAGAGAATGGCAGGATGAGGGGGAGCTGCAGATTTATGCAAAGAAGCCCCAGAGAATGGGGCCAGCTACCCAGGGAATGTGGGGGCTCACTTATCAAAGACTGCTGGAAAATGGCTGAGCCGGCAGCCCCCTCCACTATAGTGATGCATGGTTCCCTTGAACACCCAGTAACTGTGCCTGTAACAAGGAGAAAATTAAAGAAACTAATCTGGCCAAATAGAAAATTAAGGAAAACTAGAAACAGCTCCTATGGAGAGCAGGGACTGGGGAGGTGTAGAGGGAGCTGATCCTGAATGTCTGGAGGATCAGGAGAATGTAAGCAATTGTTGAAGGACTAGAAGGAATCGAGATCTAGAGAGACATCCCCCCGACTCTGGTGGCTGGGGAATATGAGCTGTGGAGACATGGTTTCAAGAACTCAAAATGGGCCGGGCGCGGTGGCTCAAGCCTGTAATCCCAGCACTTTGGGAGGCCGAGACGGGCAGATCACGAGGTCAGGAGATCGAGACCATCCTGGCTAACACGGTGAAACCCCGTCTCTACTAAAAATACAAAAAAAAATTAGCCAGGCGAGGTGGCGGGCACCTGTAGTCCCAGCTACTCCGGAGGCTGAGGCAGGAGAATGGCGTGAATCCAGGAGGCAGAGCTTGCAGTGAGCTGAGATCCAGCCACTGCACTCCAGCCTGGACGACAGAGCAAGACTCCATCTCAAAAAAAAAAAAAAAACCTCAAAATGATATGTGACAGCTTAACATTACAGTTCAGTGCAAGGTTCTCAAAGCATGATCCCCTGATAGGAGTGTGAGGGGGCAACACCATCACCTAGGAATTTGTTAGATATGCAAATTCCCAGACTCAGTGAATCCCAGACTTAGGTGGGGCCAGCAACCTGTGATTCTGCAACAGGCTCAAGTTTGAGAACAAATGGCTTAGTGTAAGGGGCTGCTAATTGGTATATAAATGTTACCTGTGGTCTATTATTTTGTCTGTAGTGAATCTTGGGCTTGTTAAGGATAAATAAGGTTTGTGGGCTGGTAAGTGGTTCGCTACAAGGTTGCAACAGCTGACTTCAGTTAACTTCAAAAAGGCCCTTTAAGCAAAGACAGTAGTCCCCCCACTTATCCATGGTTTTGATTTCAGTTACTTATGGTCAACCATGGTCCAAAAATATTAAAAGGAAAATTCCAGAAACAAGTCATACGTTTTAAATTGTACACCATTCTGAGTATTGTTTGACTTGTTCTATTTTATTAGTTATTGTTGTTAATCTCTTACTGTGCCCAATTTATAAATTAAATTTTATCATAGGTATGTATGTATAGGGAAAAACATCATATATACAGGGTTTGGTACTATCTGAGGGTTCAGGCATCCACTTGTCGTCTTGGAACATATCCCCCACAGATAAGGGGGGACTGCTGTACAATGCAAAGGACAAAGATTAAATTATATTAGCAATCTAGGAGCAGAAGGGCAAGACTGCTTTTTTAAAAAACAGCTAAAGGTTTAGGAGGTTTTATTAATATTTAAATTGTATTGAAACCATAGCTGCAGCCTTTGACTCCAGCATAGATATGCAAATGTGGCTTTCAAAAGAAAGGCAATTTCAGACAGCCCTCAAGGTAACAAGAACAAATAAAACAAATGATTTTGTAATTTATCTTTATTGACTGATGGTGCGCAAGGCACAGACACCCATACCCTGTGAGAGTCAGCAACAGCTGAGCTCTCTGAGGAGCGAAGAGAAAGCCAGCCTGGAGGGAGATGCAGGCCGACCCGTGGATGGTAACAGAAAAGACACAGAGCAGGCAGATGGGAGAAGAAGACAACTGAGTTAAAAGGGAAGGAAAATGAAAACCCAGCCCTGGATCCTATAGACCATCTGATCTTGCTGGCTCTCAGCAGCAACAACAATAATCATTAATGACTATCATTTGCCACACTCCTAAGTGCCACGCACTATTCCCCACATACAAATGAGGAAAATGAAGCTTTGAGAGGTCAAGCAACTTACCCAAGGTCACACAACAAAAGGAAGGGGCAGAACCCAGATTCAAACAAAGATTTGTGTGAGACTGAAGCCCTGTGCTCTTTCCAGTGCATTGCACTGGGAACCAGTCCTGGGAGGCGGTGAATAACAATAAGGTTAATGATTGAGGGGACACTTTGTGCCTGGTTCTGTGGTATTCTGTATGGGCATGCGTGTGTGTGTGCGTGTATGTGGGTAGCTATGGAAAACAGGGTGAAAAACTCCATTTCTGACCTTCAAATTGGTTACTATCCAATGAGTGAGGCAAGAAAAGAAAGCCAAAGAAAACTTGCAGAATTCTGGTGTAAAAGTTCTTTTGGGGCCATGTGGTGGGGCCAGGCTCTGCCTGTTGTGGGAGACTTCTGGTGGAGGCATCTCAACTGGGCCTTGGGCCTTGAGTAAGATTTAGCCAGTTGAAAACGAAAGCTGGAGATTCCACAGGCCCAGGTGAGAGCCTCCAGCTGCTAGAATTGAAGGAAGGAGCACCTGATCCAGAGAGATGAGAAAAGACAAGAGAGTCCAGAATACATATCTCTGACCCTTTGTCCCTACCCAATCTCCCTAGACCTTCCATCCCAAGCCCAAA